ACTGTCTGACGCGTCTGCCTCCGCGACCCGAAAGGAGAAGCGGCGATGGAAGATGAAGATGAAGATAATAAAATTTTCTGAATCAATTGACATTGTTGAACCAAGCATCCTGTACAGCAACCGAGCATCCATAATTAAGAAAATTCCTACTTTTAATTCTTTACATAAAATTTCTGTCCGTTCACGAATCTGAAACTCATTTATAATGAAATGCAATTAATTCATGCATGTGGCAACTTTCTGGATATGCACCTTTACTGATGCAGTGGGAAGTCAGCCAGCTTCGCACACCAAAGGTTCCAGTTTTACATGAGATAAACTTTACTTATTAACTGCAAATATCTTTGAACAAGATATTCACTCCATTGTGCTGCGGTGGAATCAACAGGAAAAAATAGGTAGAAAGTCGGTGATCTAGAGCAACACAGCTTGAAATTCAACTGTAATTGTGTCAGAACTTGGGAGAGCCACTGTCATATTAGAACTAAACCGTACCATCTTCATGACATTAAGCATTTCATTGGGATTTTTGCAACCAACATATCATGAACGCCTACCTGTCAAATAAAGTACGATAAGCAACGAACGGATTCAAATTTTCACAGCTGAAGTCTGCTATTAATGTTAGATTCCATAGGATTTCAGCACAACAGTGATTTTTTCATGCAGCATGGCGCGTGTTACTACATCTGCCATCAATCTTTGGGATGCGGATCACCTCAGCGTCGATTAATGCTATTATTTACCTCCGTCGAGTCTACGTCTCCTTGTAGAATGTTCACGATCGATATGTAGCAATGTTGTGTGTTTCCTTTCTTGCGACAAATATTGGAGACCATCATGTTAGCCGGCTGCAATAGTCGGCGCATTGTTTCGTAAACGCTAGTTTTGCGGACAAATATTTCCTGAAATATCATATGAAATGATTACAAGCTTTGAAACATCAATAACAAAGGACGTATGACTCAAACAGAGTTAACAAAGCATTTTAGGAACGAAGTTAAATGCCTCTACAAATCCTGGATTTACGCATTGTAAATTAAAAATACCCTAGGGACTTCAGATGAAACACAACAAAACGAGATTACAGGAACGAATCCCACTTGACAGAGTCAAAGAAGTTTTAAATAAGACGAATAATAGAAGTTCCGTACAAATATCCTTCAAAAGCCTATAAACCATTGTTCACTATTAAGTAAAATCATTCTGTGCGAAAAAATGATGCAAACTTTATAAAAAAAATATCCTGACATCATGCAGAATGAAAGAGAACATGCAGACCTGTAGAAACTAACAAGGAGTGAAGCTGCTCAGGTAGACCACGAATCTGTACAAAAGAATTCTAGAAAGAATGATGATAAGTGTTCGATGTCACCGAACATCTGCCTGGCAGTTTATTCTTAAATCAGTAAATGTTTGTCAGTCAAACATTAAATTAACACTGATTCGACCAAGCATATTCAACCCATCACCTGAAACCACGCGGACCTCCAGGAAAACGCCAAGATCTTCAAAGACCGCATCAATCTACTGGTCAGTAAGATAGCTGTCACGGTCAAATGCCGCTATATTAAATAAGGTGCCTTATTCATTAAGCATGTTGCAAAGCAGGCAGTAAAACAGTTCGTTACGGTGAATAACTCTTTGGAATGAACTGGCAAAAAAATAAGAAACTGTTTACTCTTCCCTTACCTGACTCGCTGCTCGCAACGGTGTATAACCGGTTATGAGGAAGTGCAAGTTCCAAATCGGCACCAGAGACGATAGCATACTCCTCATGTCGCTGAACATGTAGCTCGGGTAGCGAAGGAAACTGGTGCTAGCGGCCATAATCGTTGATACCTAAACAATGGATTACAACTGCCGCACTGCATGGTTAAAGGGAAGGGAACAAAAGGCAGATTTGCTCAGGTGAACGTACGAAGGAGTTAATCTCTGAGAAGCTTGGATGTGTGATGTGCGACCGCTCGACAGCAATTCGATGCAGCGCGCTATTGTCCAGAACCACCTACGTATCAGTAAAGAACATGAATGGCGAAGTCGATTGGGAAGACAATGCACAGTTACCGTCGAATCAGCATACTCGATTAGTCGCTTCATCGTCAGCACCGAATTATACGGCTGAACAACGACGTCACTGCCCTCTTGGTAGTCAGGAAACACAGAATATGTCGCGAGCAACTTTTTAGGAAACCTATACGACAAAATACAGTATGATTTACTGGGAATAATCTGGTGTTCATCGACTGTACATTACAGTTTCTAACAACAAGTTCATCACTTAAACAGCAAAATAACAGTACAACGCCAACACCACACCAGTTTCAGCATAAAGTTATGTAAGAAAATCAACATATTAGTTTGAGTTTGAAGGTGCGAATTCTGCACAACGTATGATAACTATCAACGTCAGTCAACAACCTCTGACAGTAGATTAAACAATTGCAATACTAAAACCGTAGCAAATCCTGACCTACGAAAAAATTATCCTCATCTTGCATGGCCGCTTCTAATTTCGGGTCGCGGAGACAGACAATGCTTCCAACGTTCCCGATCCTGTGCCAGAGTCTGAGCGTTGGCAGAAGACAACTGGAGTACCGAACAGACGCCTTCCATATATTTGAACCAGGTGAATCTCGGCCTTCACTTAGGCCATTTCCGGTCGGTTTGACAAGAAACACTTGTTCAGCCTTCCTTTCTGGAAGCATTCGAACACAATGCCAAACCATCGCAGCTGTGACTTCTAAATCTGGAGAAACAAACTATACACAAAGACTCTCCCGGATGTCAGTATTCCGAACCATGTCCATACGCCTAATGCCAGCGACTCGTCTACGGAAGCGCATTTCAGCAGCTTGCACGCGGGTTCGAAACTTTCCAGTCATGGTCCACGACTCATGACCGTAGGTAAGAATGGGGATAAACATCGAGCTGAACACCGACAGCTAAGTTTTCGGACTGAGCTCGGCATTAGTCACAACGGATCGGAATAGTTCAAGCAGAACAACACTGGCTACTCCAGTTGGCTAGTCGATCCCTTCCTCAAATTTTTCATTACTAGTAAGTACGACTGCAAGGTACTTGAACCTCTCTACTTGCACCACTGCAACGGGCAGCAGAACGAGAAAGCACTAAGCTTTTCGTTTTAAATGCGTTCACATGCATGCCGGTCCCATCGCACTCGGCTGCAAACAGCAACTTTCTCGTCTCCACATGTCCTACATGAATAAACTCATCGCCTTGGCTGCTCATGGCAATTCTATCCATGTACAACACAAAGAGGACAGGAGGCAGCGTTGGCGGAGACCAACGCGAACGTTGAATGGTTTCGACTTAATGTCATTTACTCTAACGCTACCAGAATACAGTATTTGGATGGCCCTTAGCGCTGGCCATCTACCTCGTATGGTCGAAGGCATGACCACAAACTGTTGCGTGGGATTCGGTGACAGGTTTTTCTAGGTCAACAAAACACATGTACACCGGATGGGCGTACCCCCAGAATTTCTCAACAATCTAGCGCAGGGCAAATATATGGACAAAGGTGCTTCGACCGGGCTGGAAGCCACACTGCCATTCTTGTATATTGGAATCAGCTATTCCGCGGAAACTCCTTTCTAGCGCCTTTGCGTAGATTTTACCTGGGATCCTCAATAACGCAAAGACCCCATAATTAGAGCACGCTTTGTGTTCTCCATTCTTGAATAGGGATACAACAACTCCACTTCTCCAGTCCGCTGGTGTCTTATCCATAGTCATCGCAGTTTCACAGACACATGTAAGCCAGCACATGTCTTGTTCGCCTAAGGCATTGAACATTTTAAGGTGGATTTCATCAATTCCAGCAGCCATTCCATTTTTGTCACAGCTTCTTGAATTTCATTTACACAGGTAGTAATATCGTTTCCTGCTGTTCTACAGGAGAGTGTTTCTGCGGTTGTTCGGGGTTAAGGAGTTCATCAGAGTACTCTCTCAATCGCCGAAGAATGTTTTCGTCCTCGGTAAAAGGCTCTTCAGACCTGTACTTAAAGACTGAGGTTGCCGTTGTTTTCTCTAGGAGACGCGAATGGTCTGCCACAATACCTTGTTTGCCGTGTGGAAGTTCGACTCCAACACCTCACCGAACTTTTCCCCAGAATCAGTTTCGGCTTTCGCCATTGCTTGCGCTGCCGATTTGCGTTCCTCGACATATCGCACGCGAAGGCTCCTTGTTTCCAAGCCATTTCTTGAACGCTGCCTTTTTCTCTATAACTGTCAGTTGTACCTTTCTTATCCACCAGGATGATCTTTTCTGACCTCCAGCCAAAAGGCCAACTCTTTAAGGCCGCAGCACTGGGCGGCAGTCTCGAGTAAGCTGCGCTTAAACAGCTGCCACTCGGCTTCCACATCAGTGGTCACCGGGATCTGTTCAAACAGTCGTGCGATGTTGCTTGTAAAGTTCGATCTCGTTGCCACCAAAGATAATGTTTCCCATTTGATTCTCTGGTTGCTTCTGCCAAAATATCTTCGTATATTACTCAATTTCTTACAGCGCAGCATGTCAACAACAAGATAGTGATCGGTTGATAGCACTGTGCCACTCTTAACACGAACATTCATTACTAAGGGCTTAAGTCAGACGATACAATTTCAAGTCGATCATCGACTTCTGTGCACAAGCTACCCAGTACGAGGTATAATGGTGCGCTCTTGGATGCTGGAACAAAGTGTTCACAATGGACCGTCCACTGTTTGCACAAAACTGCAACAACTTGATGCCGTTACTGTTGAGGTCGCGAGGGCCGTTTTTTCCAATCACGCCGTTCCGCTTTTCAGGGTCTACTCTGAAATGTGCAATAAAATCGCCCATCAGTATGAGGGACTCTGTATTCGGCAGTTCGCACAGAATACTCCGCACTTCCTCAAGGCATATATCATATTCTCCCTCCAAATTGGGCGCACAGACCTATATCAAGGTCAACGTTTTAATCTGTTGTAGCTTCAGTCGGAGGATTACCACCCTTCCGTTTACAGGCTTCCAACCAATGATTCTGTCTGCGAGGTTGGGTTCTACCAGAAGACGAACATCGGACTGAGTGCGCATCGTGATATCGACGCCTGAGTAGAATAGCTGCCACCCGCAGAGGTTCAGGATTCCAGAGCCTTGGCACTTTGTTGACGAGGGTAAAACGATGACGAATTGGTACTTTATGTTAATGGCCTCATCAAGTAACTCCTGCACTTTCCCGAATGCGGATATATTCCAATATCCGACTGTAAGCTCCCACTGGCGGTGTCGTTCTCGTGGAGTCTTTTCTGACTGCTATAATGGCGT